TCTCCCTATACCTCACAGTCGCCGGCCGGACGTCCGGGTGACGCAGCAAAGTAGTGTCCAGTTTCAAAATCCGGGTCCCGTCTCGGTGTCCGAATCCCAGCAAGAGCCCGTTATAGAAGCGGGCCAAGCCGGCAACAAGAGGCCGCTGGGGAAGGGGATATAAGAGATGAGGACACGATGTTACTTGACGAAGAACAGCTGCGGATGAATCTTGCCGATGGACAAGTGACGGCAGTGGCTATTGAATATGCCATCAAGCAGATTGCGTTCGGTGGAATGGACGTCGTACAGTGGGTTCATACATTCAGAATTTCCCTGCTAATGCTCATCTAGCGATGATATTCTGCTGCTGATGCTGAATTCAGGGTATACCACATCCTTCCCAAAGCCGTATGCGACTGCATCAAACACAGCCATCGCTTCTTCGGTGCATGCCGCAAGCCACACGTCGGGGTTTTCATTCCCGATAGGCTGGTTCCAACATGGACTTTAGACCTTCAATTCATCCCGCGCACGATCCTCATGGCGCCCTTACCCACAAAGGACCGCGCCATTGTTGATCAAGTATCCAAAACCGTTATCCTTCCCTGGTACAACACGATTTACAGGCCACTACACTCTCGGCCCATTCGCCCAGTCGATGAGAACACAAGCACAAAATTCAAGGAGACGGTGCCGAAAGAATGGCCAATGTATCGTCTCAAGCCATGGAATCCAAACTGGTTGAACATGGTGTTTGCACCTGAAAGCTATGCAGCTTCATATCGTTTGTCTGGATATATTGACTGGAACGGTGAACTACACGACCGCCATTTGTATCGGTGGTACGACGCAAACCCACTGATGGAGCCGGTGGGTGTGTTTGGACATGTCTCCTATCACCAGCACAGCGACTACCCCCAGACTCTGCTTGAGTGGAGAGATACAGTGAAGCTCTTGCCATGTCTGGTCATTACACGAGCAGCCATAGACGACAGGCGATGTTTCTGGAGCAAGAATGGGATTAGAAGACAGGAGCTGCGGTGTCAACTAATTTTTCACGACAAGGAGGTTACTGACGGGGACGAGGCAGGGCAATTTGTGAACATGGATCGTTACCGTTGCCAAAGTGAGGGCAGGCTTGTTCCTGACGCGGCTTGCGACGATGTTGGGGATTTGAATATAAAAGGGAAGAGGGCTTTAGATGGACAGAGGGAAACACTGATGGTGACTCAACATGTAGTAGGGAATCTGAGATGGCCAAATACATTCATAGTGGCGGCCTTGTACGAAGACAATGCGATTTTCTTATTCGAGGTATACTTGCCGCGCGGATTCGAGGAATCACAAAATATTCGCTCAGCTTGGCCCGACGAGATTTGTTTCTTCGGGTTCAAGTTAGGGAATTTTGGAGTTAATGTTCCGACAACTGCAGGGTTGGGGTCGGTTAGTGGTAAGGTGCTTGGAATGGCGTTTGACATGCGGGATTGGGAATTTCCAGGTTTAAGTTGGCCGGCGGAGGAACCGGGGGTGCAGATGCAACCGCCGTGCTTGAGGTTGAAGCAGCCGAGTGGACTGGCGCTTGTTTTACTGGTTGATGGGGAGGGAAAGGGGGAGACGCAGGAGTCGGAGATTATGAAGGAGGACGTACTGCCATCTACAACTATGTCGGGAGGATTGCAGGTGAACAATCTCATCGAGCAGGAGTTAGCGGAGCAAGCGAATGTAGCGAGCAGGGAGGCCTCACCAGAGGCAGCAACGGTGTCAGCGGTGAGTCAGACGAATCACTGGGGGCCTCTTGGGGAGGGACCTCCCTCGGCGCTTGTGACAGCCGGACCGTCCAGAAGAAGTACAATTGATCATGACACTAGCTTCAACGTAGAACAAAGTTGGGTTGCGGAAAGCGACTTTGTAACATCTTCAGAATCCGACAACCCCGGATTCAATACGTTCATGGCAGGCAAGACACCACCAGTGCGGAGAGTATTGTCACAAAAGCCCAGGAGGGGTCGAACGTCTCCAGCTTTTGAGGGTAACCACAGCAGTTGTGAACAAGACTCCAAAAGCAATTTTCGGCGAACCAAGTCAGCTCCTGCATTCATCAATATCGACCCAGGCTGGCCAGTTCCTCGAGCTGTAGAGACACTGAAGTCGAATATCAATACCATCGAAACGCCCGAGGCTAATGGCCATAATCCTTCCCCGCGCCCTCGACCAAGGCACATGCTGCAGATGAACGAACCCCACTTTTGAATTCAAAGGATAGCGATTTGCGGGATTATCTTTGGAGACGGCCGCAAAAGCCACGATTTTTGACACACACTATACATCTATACCAGGGCCACATCCGGAACCTCAACGTCGGTGGACCGTCAGTTCAGGATTCGAGAGGGGCGAATTGGGAGTATGTTGGAGTTGAAAAGGAGAGGTACGGTTTCAAGGAGGCGTTGCGGGATACGGGGAAAGGGGTGCACAAATTATTTTCGAAGATTACGGGAAACTGGAAGGGGTACAATCAAAGGTGGCTTAACCATGGCCTGTCGACCAAGGAGCGGGTTAGTGAGGAGGAGCTGGAGAGAAGCAGGATTTTGCATAGGGGTGGAAAATGGGATGAAGGAGAAGGGTTTAGGAGGTATAAAGGGAGGAAGCCGAAGCCGGGAGAGGGGCTCGGGGTCATGTTGAGGAAACATGTAGGCCCGGGTGGGGACCTGGAGGAGAGAGATGATTTGGATATCTACGGAGGAGATCAGGCGGTGGGGTCAATGGGGGTTGCTGGGGATATTGGAATGGGCAGGGTCATGGGGGAATCCAAAGTTATTCCAGAATTGGGCGTCGGGGCTTATAGACCGGTAGAAGGTTCCGCGGCAGGGGCGCTTGATAGTCTGCATGCAACAAAGGGACCAATGTATAATAAGCGGACGTATCAGTATAAGCGGAAAAAAACGACAGCGGAGATGGCGAGGGAGACAGAGAAGAGGGGAAAATTGACAGTGCAGGAAAGAATTTTGCGGGAGAGGGAGATGGCGACTGAGAAGGAGATTGTGGGGAAGCTGGAGGATATCGACGCGCCGGGGGTGGAGGAGGACGAGTTGCAATGGGTTGGGGGGAGGACAAATGTTAGGGGAACGGGGAATGATGGCACAGGTTTCGTACAGTTGGCGCCGTCGCGGGGAGTGATGAGTGCGAAGGCGAAAGGGAACTGGAAGGCAGGCGTGATGCCAACCGTGGAGGAGGTCTCCGCGCAGGAGGAGAAGGCAGCCGAGCAGGACAGTTATGAAGATGAAGATGACGACGACGGGTATGAAGACAAGAAAAAGAAGGATAAAGGGAAGGGAAAGGCGGAGTGGGTGGAAGTGGAGGACCTGGAGGATGAAGATGAGATTTTGCCGTTTTGGAATAGGAATTGGTCGAGGGAGAGGGATGGGTGGGATAGGAGTGGAGGAGGCAGTGGGGGTGGTGGGCCTGCAGGGCTTGCGGGGCGATGTATTGGGTGAGGAAAGGGCGAAGGGAATAGGAGGGCGAGTTCTGGGGGAACTGGGGAGCGGGGGTGGAGGTATTGAGGAATGTGTACTATAGGATGGGGGTGGAATAAGGATAAGAGGATGGAGGTGGTAGGAAGGGTAGAAGGTGAAAGATATTTATTGTGGGATTGTGTGGTGAGACGCAGGGTAGAATAGTTGGCAAAGTAGTTGACTTGATGGATGTATGAAGTAAAAATTGGTCATGAGCGGGGATTTTGAATTACTTGCCTTCAGAGTATTCAAATGTCAACGGCTCCGATCTTTTTGATCTGCTTTTTCCAAATGGAAAGAGCGCGAAGGGTTGCATGACTCTTAGAAAAAGCAGAATAATGCAGAAAATGCTGTCCAGAAAGGTACATAGTTTGAAGTTCCGAGATAGAGGTGTATGCAGGTGGAATTGCATGCCAACAACGCTACTCAAGATATTAGGTAGTGAATTCGAATAATTCCGGAATTTTGGACGGACTACATGTGTAATTCTAAAAATCAACCAGATGTCCGCTTTTTTTTTTTTGATGTTGTGGGCCCCAAAAAGATTTGAGGAAAAGATTTCCGCAGTTTTTTCCGTCTGGAATGGCGCCGCAAGAGCGGGTGTATGTAAATAAGACTGCGGAGTATCATATTCATTTGGGATTTTTGTGCGGGGCAGAAGGACAGTCCCAGCGCCTTGCTTCTGGACGAATTTTTCAACGGGTACTCAAACTTGGGGTACGGGTTCATAGGCAAAGTTTATAACCAGCGTTTCAAACTCAACTGAATACCATTAGTTGTATGTTCCGTGGAAGTACATTAAGGTAACTGCAGTTGGCAGACTGGATGTATTCTTTGCATGCCCAAACTGTATGATGCCGTTACAGATAATTATTATTCAAGGTTAAGACGGGGGTGGTGTTGGTGTTGGTTTTGTTTTTTGGTTTCTTGGTGGTTTTATATATAGAAAGGAAGGAAGGGTAGGTATAATAGAGAGGTTTTATAAACCCCGAACTTTTTTCAGGGTTTGGGAAAAAAATACGTTGCCTTAGCAACAACGTGTTTATTTATACCAAGTCCTGAAAATTTCCCTTCCGAAATCCGGAAAACTGACCCTTAAGATTGTAAAATTCCCACAACACTCAATTCTAAAGATATTTACATCAAATAAACACGAAAAATGAGCCAAAGCACTCCTCTATCTACTCAAGAGAATCTATCCCAGACTTCTCAATCTCCAGTTGTCAATTCAGCGACTAGTATATCACCACAACGTTTGTAGTGTACCGGTAGTTAATTCCTGAGTTTTTCAGGTTAACTTACAAAAAACCTGACGCACTCTCAGGGTTTTAGCATTATTACTAATTAAGTTACCCGCAAATTTCAGGGTTTTTATAAAACCTGTCTATTAAATAATAATAATATTAATAAAAGAAAAGTTACCGCGCTTACAAAGTAAAGGTTTTAGCAGACTTGATACGCGATTATGTTTGTTGGACAGGGGGCAGAGTTGGAAGTGTACATGATGATGGCTGGTTGGCGCAACGGTAGCGCGTTCGACTCCAGTTTTTCCGGAATCCGGAGGATTGGGTATCGAAAGGCTAGGTGTTCGAATCACCTACTGGTCAGCAGAAATTTTTTTGGGGATGGGTGTGGGGGGGGTTTTTCACTTGGTACCTGATAGGTGCCATTCTAATAATAGGCGGATTTTGCAACGTCCAGGTAAAGCAATTCGGGTAATTATTAATCACGGTTGCTTTAGCAACGAATTGTTTGTGGCTGGTGTACCAGGCAAAGTTCGATTAAATAACCGAACTTTGCGGGTTAACTCTCCCATCCGAGAAAATTTTATCCTCAACACCAGAATTATTTTATTACTTGAGAAAGCAAGTATGTCTTCTCAAGACCCTTCTCAATCATCAGAGACTCCTATTCCTCCAAACCGTCCACGTGGGTGGCCACGAACAGCTACTCCATTGAGCCAATCTGTAGCATCCTCCGAGGCTTTACGCACTCGATTAAATGAGTAAGAAAAACTTTATTTGGCCCGTTTATGTGTCCAGAATCAAGCAGAGCATCAGCCTGGACAAAAAGGAAAGTTTTGGGAGAAAATTAAGATTCTCTTGAAGGATGAAATTGGAAAAGATGCAACAATCATATGCATGCTTGAAAGAGCCCATGCTGCGACAGCGGTAGCTGCTGCTACAGCAGCAGCCTGTCTTCTCTTGCATGGTATAATTGCCATATTGTATCTCTGTAGAGGCGTGGTTGTCTGTGGGTAGTAGAGAGGCGGTGTGGGAGCGTGGGTAGTATAGAGTGCAAGAAAAAAAATAGCCGCAAAAGTGGTCTCAAAAACGCTGCAAAATCTATGCATAGTTCTTGGTTATAGAAATATTACTAATACTATTTTTCAAGTTAACCGAAAGACTTTACCCGCGACATTGCATAATCCGCCTAATTATCGCTGTACTCTGGGTGTTGTGGAATCACATCTATTGTATGTGACTCTAAACATTAAGGACGGAAGAGGCTTCTGACTAGTATCGACTAGCTCAATAGGATTTTTCCTGACTGCAAATCAGGTGGCTGCCAATAGTGGAGGACGCTCAGCATAAGGTGTGGTTTGTGCTTTTGGTTTGCATAATGTGGGGTGGTACGGTACTAGCCAGTTTCAAAAGTTATTTGCCTAAATTTTGCGCTATGCAGCTTATGGCATACACTAATCTACTTCTAAGTTACCCACTTGGTAAAGTTTGCAAGGGGTAAATGTTGCAACAGTTTGTTACAGTAGCAGATGAATATAGGAATGAGATAATGTTAGAACGGGGGATATAAATAAGGAAATAAGTAAAGTACTATCATTAATGTCTAAATGTATCAATGCAAGCGATGGAAATAGGTACACAGCTTGATACTATTATGTGGAGCTCATAGAGATATAAGAAAAGTGGGATGATCCCTATAATGACTGCTTCGGAAGTGACTGTTAAACAGCTGTCAAAATGATATTCCTAACAGCTGCCAAGCGAGTCAAGGCAGCTGCCAAAATGACACCAAAAACAGCTGCAGAAACGATCGTCGGAATGGCAGCTGAAATGGTTGCTGAAATGGCTGTTAAAACGTCTGCCAAAACGACGGTAAAAGCAACGGTAAAAAAAACAGCTGCAGAGACCATGGTAAAAAACAGCGGGTGGTTGGTGAAATGGCTGGTGAAATGGCTGGAAAAAATGGTTGGCAAAAATAGCTGGCAAAAACGACGGTCGGAGCAGCTGCCGGCCCAAAACAGCTGCAGAGCGACGGTCAAAACAGGTGCAGAAGTTCTCAACTGCTGCGGGTTGCACATATATCTTGTGCGATCATTTAATCTAACTTTCTCGTCCCCCAGCTTTGCTAGTGCGTTGTCAAGAAGTGGAGTAGTGCATGCCATATATTGCATAATGCATAATGCACAAGTCAGGGCGTCCGAATATTTTTGAAACTGGCTAGTACCTTGATGGCAGACAGGCTTTGGATGAACTACTTAGTGCGTTGATAGGTGGTATTTTAATTATCGCTTTTGTGGGGTGTTGTGAAATGCATATATTATTAGTCTGGTGTACTAGCCAGTAAGATATGTATTCGGACAGGGGTCCTAATGCACATTATGCGCTATGTCCGAATACATATTTTACTAGCAGATATGTGACTCTCAACATTAAAGGACGGAAGAGGCTTCTGACTAGTATTGACTAGCTCAATATGAAATCAGCTGGCCTTGCCAATTGTGGAGGATGCTCAGCGTGAGGTGTGGTTTGTGTAACAGACGGTAAAAGTACATGGACACGCCAACTGCATGAGAGGTAGCGTGCCCGAAGTGGTAACGAGCTGGCCCCCTGTAACGATCCACTCTCTTGGCACTCCTCGTCATGCATTCCTTGCCCTATTACCTATTACTGGATATATTGCGACTACGGAAATTGCATAGTATTATATCAATTTGATACCGCTGAATCTGAATATACTATCATAATAAGGAAAAAGCCAAAATTCCAATAACTATAACCAAATTCATCATAATTTATATGAATTAACCCCTCCCTGCATATAATATAGCTCAATGTTCTCAGAATCAGTAAAATAATATAGAAAATGAGTAATAATCATTCGCCTAGCACTAGTCTGTTCAGTTAAAGTTAATAAATGTATATAGGAATTATATAGGATACACGCACCTTCAAATATATAGAAGAAATTCACATTCTCGAGCTAATCTCTGTACCTCAATATCATCATCAGTGTCCTCAGAGTCCTCAGGTGATCCAGGAATACTAGGACTTGACGTAGTGGTAGATGAAGCACTAGAGATAGTAGCAGTAACTTCGTCTGAGGCATCAGGTATGATAGAAGAGGTCTGTGGCTCGAGATTTACTACTGGAACCTCCTTCACCCCCCCCCCTAGCAGGTGTTCGGACCCTCCCACCTCCTGAACCAAAGGCCTTCCTCGGCCCCGGCCTCGCCCGCGAGTTCCCCCACGACCTCTCTTTGCGGCCCGCTCAGCTGCAGCTATTTCTTTCTGTTCTTGTTTCTCTTTTGCCTTTCTTTCTCGCTCCTCCGCTGCTAGCTGCTTTTTCACTTCAGCAGCTTCTTTCTTATCCTCAGCTATTTTTCGTCGCTCCTCTGCCTTCTGAATTTTCTCTTCCTCTTTTCTTATCTTCTCTACTGCTTTCTGTTCCTTTTCCAGCCTCTTCCGCTCTTTCTTTTCCTCTGCTTCCAGTGCTGCTTTGACTTCGGCTTGTCGAGAGGATTCAATATACGCTCGATTAAGAGTCCGAGGGCCTTTAATATGCTTCAAACTACCAGCCGGAGCTTTTTTGACCATCTTACCATTCCGTAGAGCTTTGAAGGTTGTAGCATTAGGCTCAATCACCGTATATTTTGTTAGCTTTTCCTCCAGAAACAATACATGGTCCATCACAGTCTTGCGTGTATGTGGAGTCAAAATTGCCTTGTCCAGAGCAGTTCGTAGTACTATTTGCTTTGATGGAGTATCTAATATAGAGAGATCTGAATTGACCGTCATTGTCGCTTGAACTTGAGGAGGAATAACTTTGTCGGGATCAATAGGCCAGCATCCAGACCCCCGCCATGCACCCAAAATAGTATCGGTAGTAAAAGTAGATTGTCTGGCACCACAAAGAATTTCCCAGAAGTCAGGTTTGCGCAAAATATCACAAGGCTTTTGATATATCCAATCTTGTAAGCCATTGCGGTAGTGTCTTTGGAGAGGAGAGAAACATCCAACATCAAGAGGTTGCATTAAATGAGTTGAATGTGGGGGAAGACAAAGCATTTGAATCCGGTGATTGAGTGCATATTCAACGACTTGGTAAGCGACATGGGAAGAGTGACCATCAACAATTAAAAGGCGCCAAGTATATTAGAGGGAGGTAAGGTCAGTGAATCGCTCGAAATAATTATACTGCATTTGTCATGTATAGTGCTTGTAGGAAGGCCGGTTGCTATGGGGGTGCCGGCGGTAGAGGCGGTGGAGGCGGTGGAGGCGGTGGAGGCAGGGGTGGTGGAGGCAGTGGAGGTAGTGGAGGTAGTGGTAGGGTTCACGGGGCGAGTATATGGCTCAAAGTGATATTTTATAAACTCAACACCTAGTTCATCATCCATGTATCCACTAGGCGAGCGTCCAAAAGTTGCAGGAAGTTCATGGACACCCTCAGCACCGTAGTAGCCTTCTCTATGGGTTTTCGCCTGCCAGACAAGGTATGGAGGAATGATGTGACCAGCAGCATTTACTGTCTCTATGACAGTAACAAATTCTCGATTGCCATCAGTAACTGCAATTTTTCGCCTTGGACCTGCTCGAACAATACATTTCTGCCTGCCAGTTGCAATGCCCATAATAATACCCTTTTCATCATAGTTCCAGAGGTTGTCAGGGGTGATCTTAAGTTGGCGCATTGTAGTCCGGAGTGACCGATAAAATGCCTTCTGCGCTGGAATATTTGTCCCTTGCGAATGCCGAATGCGCTCAAGATATTGTACATATTTGCTGTTAACTATGGGATGTCGAAGTAAAAACCTCTCATGCCACCGATCTCCTGGAACTGCATTGCTAAACCTTCGCTGCAGAATTAAAACAGCCATACTGTAGTTCACCACTTTCCCGGACACCCCACTTTCCCGGACACATCTACCACCGAAACTGCGCAACTTTCGCACTCAATATCTCAACAACCACAACAGCATTTGTGAATGCACTTTTGTGTAGCTATTAGACAAAGTGTAATTCTTGCTATCTAGCACTTTTTCTTTATCAAAAATTGTGGTTGCAAAGGGATTATGGCTTGTCGCATTTTTGTTGGAAGGCTTGGCATTTATTTGTATGGGATCTCCATACAAAATGTTCAACAGACTCGATTGTAGTCCTACTCTTCAACGCTAATTACAATAGCTATAATAGTATATGTCAAGAATCACCTGAAGAGGTATAGTAAGGTACTGCATTTAGTTCACTTTCATTTGTTGAATTGTAGAGTTGGTGTACAACTATCTACTTTTGGGCGTTATTCTCATACAAATGGTTTCTATGGGAAATATGAATATTGTGAATAATTTCACAACCACTACAGTTATT